CACCATTCCTCAAAGGCAAGTTTTACAGCAGAAGTCCATGATCCCAGATAGAGTAGTTCTTGGAAAATGAGCCAGAGGAATGTAAGTTGCTCCACTGAGATAGAACAAAGCCAACCCCCACAGAGGAAGTGTCAGCTTTCAGAAAAAATGGTTAGCTGAGTCAGCACAAGAGTCAGTGCAGATGTAAAAACTTGCTTCAGATAGTAAAAAGGTGTCAGGAGCCTCATATGACCAGGATTTGCAGTTAGATCCGTTCACGGTGACAGCAGTAATGATTGCTACAATGAAAAGATAGTCCTTGATAGTTTGTCTATAATTGTTGTCAAAGCCTAGAAACCTTTGGATCACTTTCAGCCTTTGCAGCAATGACCACGTCAAGACCGTGGAAGCTTTTATAGAATCCATAAACAGCACTCTCAGTCTGGTCCAGGGAAAGGAGGGCAGATTTGGTAGAAGCGGCCTGATCTGGTGCGTGTGGGTGCCTATAACCTCTTCAATCGTCAATCATGATGGTCTGAGTCTTCCGTCACTGGAAACTAGCCCACCTCCTGTCAGATCCCCATCCAATAGCATTCATGTTGCTAAAAGACCGGTATGCCAATAATAGTAAAGCTGTGGAAGAACCAGCTCACTCAGGCACTTGCTACATGTTACTAGTTGTTCCATTACAATGACAAATTAAACAAAGCTGGTCATACTGCACAGGTCAACACTGCAACACTTTCAAATTGGTTTAAGGTCGAGAGTGGCGTGCTCCAGGGTTCTATGCTAGGCCCAATACTGTTTAACCTGTTTATTATTGATATTGTGGAAGGTCTTAATAGCCATGTTTCCGTGTTTGCTGATGATACTAAAATCGGGAGGGTAGTAAACGCGGACTTAGACACTATAACATTACAGGAGGACCTGCATAAAATAGGGGAATCACTTCTTCAAAAGGTAGAAAGACTTGCATAGTCCCTTGATAAAAGAGGTGGAGTAATACCTCTAGTTGGCATAAGGAACCTCTTTATGAGTCCATCTTTGTGAAGAAGGCAACATTCTTACACAATTACTGGTCTAGAAGACTTCAGTGGGTTTCACAAGCTGTTTGCTGCTTGCAGGGTTACTGGTGTGATGCTTGAGAAATCAGTGGCGTTGGCTTGGCTGTTTGCATCAGTGGATTCTTGATCATCCAAAGACGAGGAAAGCTTGCAGCTGTTGAAGGAAGTCTGGAGTGTAGTCTTACCAGAACTATTACAGGGTGGTTCTCTAATGTAATCTTGGCTTGCCTATATGATCATTTTATTAGAGCGTACACCATCTGAGGCTTGAGGTTTGCATTCATGGAGGACTCCAATAATTATCCAACCTTGGTCAGTCTTTTGGGCATAAGGAGTGTTATTCCATCCATTGTGTTGTTGACATACCTTGTGTACTCTCAGGATGTCTCTGCCTAGCAGAAGCATAATTTTGGCATCGTTGTGGTGGGATGCAGTCTGCTAAATGAGTAAAGTAAGTTTCAGAAGGGGCATCTTCTTGTCATTAGGCAACTGATTGCACTTGGTGAGTGTAGAAAGAGGAATCTGCTCCTTTTCAAGAGCAATGATGAAATCAGATGTATACGTTGTTCTTCCTAAAATTTCTACGGAACTAGCACAGGTGTGCAATATATAGAATAACACATTTTCCTTTATGCCGTAGAAGTCAAAGAATTCGGCAGTAGCAAGTGGGTGACTGCTTTGGTCATCTAAGACAGTATACATCAGCATACTTTGGGGGAAGACTGTGCATATTTTTGCACAGTCTTCCCCCAAAGTTCTTTGTAATGTAGTTCACTACACTTCAATATGACTGTTGCAGGTAGTTGTTCAAGGCTCTCCCCACGACGATTTAGCATGGGTGAGAAGTCTTTAGTAGGTATAGAGTCTTATTTAGTGGAACCTGGATGTAAGGCTGATATGTGCATCCTGCTGCTGCATTCTAACCACTTAAGTGTAGCTTTGCAGTCTTTGGCAAAGTATTCCAATGATGCAAAACATCTGAAACAAATATCATGACTCTTTAGAAATTCCTTATGTTCTTCCAAGGGCTCTTCCTTTAAGACACATCATTTGCTTAGAGGATGTGGCTTGTTGTGGATGGGACAGTAGTAATTTGCATCTTTATGTCTTTCATCTCTCTTATCACTTAGGTGCAGGATTCTCATACATTGCACCTGTGTAGTTAGGAACATTTATATCAATGATAACAGAGAAGCTTGGGTCATTCTTGGCCTTGACTATATTTCTGATGAACTCTGCGAGGAAGGAAAACGGTGGAAAGGACATATGGTGTTGCCTTTTATACCTGTAATCTGCCGTTGCCCTCCTTTCTTGAAGATAGTAAGTTAGTTTTGCCACTACTGGGTTCACACCATGTGCAGTATCTCTTTAGTTAAGGCCTGGTAGAGTGGGTCATTCCCAAAATTGAGGGCCTAACCATCTGATCAGCAGATCGAGCTCTTGCATGGTTGTAATGCTTAAAGTGACATTAAACCCTCAGATTTTTTAACATAAAACAATACTGTAATGTGCGCCTTACTGTAATTCATGGTTGTTTCCTTTCTCTTTGCTGCTCTTCCTTTTAAATCTGTATCTGTTCTCATGCTCTGCAGAACTTCTGTTTTGAAGCAGACTGCCTTGTCTCAGGAATGGATACACGGTGTCTGTGTATACGTTTCCATAGGCTTGTAACCTGAGCCAGCACTACAGGAAGAGGCCCTGAGCTGAAAAGGGAAGTTCTCCCCAAGCATGAGAAGACATGAGGATTTAAAAGGAAGAGCAGCCAAGAGAAGGGAAACCACCATGGATTACAGTAAGGCACACATTACAGTATTGGTTTATGTTGAAAAATCTGAGGGTTTAATGTCACTTTAAGTCCTGAACAACTGACTTGAATGTGGAATTCCAGCTCTAGTAGGTCGCCGAATGTCTTTAGGCCGGTGTTAACAAGTTCTCTGTGAGTCATGTACCTTGCTAGGTCTGATGTATCTATTCTCCCTGGTGTAATCACCGCAGGTGTTAACTTACTGTTGCTGTTGGTGACGAGAGTGGGGAACTGAGGTGTTTAAGGAGAAAATGGAGTAGCTGCAAGGTTTAGCCCAATTGGAAGTTCCACGTCAGGCTGAGTCTCAGGAACTGTGTGACTAATCTCAAGAGGTTTTGAGACAATCTGTTGATCTGGGGTCAGAAGAGTAGGCGTTGGCACAGAGGTTGATGCAATGTCTTGCACTGGTGAATGTTCAGCAGTGTCATGTGCAAGATCTGACACATTCTGTGCAATTGCCTTCTCATTATTCTGGCTTAGAACATACAGTATTTTCCACTTTGCAGGGTAGTCAGATGTGGTCAAGATAGAACGATGGACTTCTTCTTCCTCTGTAGCCTGTTACAAACCTCTTAGCTCGGCTATGACTGCTGCTTCCTCCCTTTCTTTCTGAAGGACTTTTAGCTCTGCTTGTGCTTGGCTTGCAATGCCTTAATAGCTGCTTTATTTATGTAATGTGCTTGTGCCTTTGCTGCCTCTGCCTTGGCGTGGGCTAATACCAGTAGAATACTTAGGGAGGAATGCTGAGAGTGAGTCCTTAGTGACAATTGCTGAGAGTGGGACTTTAGAGATCAATGCGATGCCTTAGAGAGCTTGGAAGACATGGTATAGCAGGATGCCGTTTCTTGCAATTGTAATATCCTGTCCACTGTATGGGACTAAGCCTCTAGAAAGATGATGTCTGGGCTGATTAAGGGCTGTGAAGCTATTTAGCTCTTTCACTCTTTTTTCCTGGTCTCCAGCAGTCTGAACCACGCTGAGATTGAGTCTAATACAATCTATTGACCTTTATTATATGTGAGGATCTTGAGGGACAGCCGGAGCAGAGAGGTAGAGAAGTGAGAACTCACCGACGCAGGACCTTGCATACCTGGAGTTCTTCTTTAAAGAAGTCTTACCTGGTATTATTCTTCACAGCTCAATTGCCTAACTCCCACAATGTGTGTTGCTTTTTATCCCATGCTTCTCTGTGCAGGAGAAGCTGAAAGGAAGAGGTTCAGATGACTGCAGATTTGCATTGGTGACTTGTTTGTATTTTTTTTTTTAAGAAAATTCTGTTTATTGTGCAATTCTGAAACCTAACTACACTAGGATCTACTAGAGATATGTGTGCTGGGCTTCAAATACTTGTATCCTCCTAATTACCTATTATTAAATCAATATTATATTGTATTGAATTATAAGACACTTTGCTTTCCAGCTTTTTGGACATAGAGTACTTAAATATTCATACAGAGATTTTTTTTTTCTCTAGGATTCTGTGTATTACAGCAAACAGAAATGTCTCGTAATAATATTCATTATAACAAAAGCAATGAGATTGAAAATGGGCAAACCATTGAATTTGAATGTGTGGAAGGGATGGTACCAGAAAACAGCCTGAAAGGAACATGTATAAATACACAAATAAAGTACCCAAAATGCTCTACTGGACGTAAGTTTACACATTCATTTTTTTCCTCAGATCTTTCTTTTGATCAATATGTTTCCTTTGCCTTTGCCTATTGACTTATTGCTTGAATAATATAACAAACTGCACCTCCAAATAGAAACGTAAACTTTAAATAAAGGTCACTCTGTTTTGAATTCTAGAGGTGTTTTCTGTTTTGTCTGTAGATCTATCAACTCCTTCTTTCAATATTAGTAATGAACACACAGTTTTCACACATTTTCCCTGGAAACCCACTGGTTCTTTACCCTAATGGGCAGCTTTATTGCCCACCTGCTGGACTTAATTGAGTCCTTTACACTATGAGCATGCCTTGGTCTTTAACTACTGTGTTCGCTTATCTATTAGTGTGACTTTAAGTTTATTGTGACCTCCAGTTATACTGTAATTATGATTTGCATTATGATGTTTAGAGCCATGCCTTCATCCCAAGATTCCAAATGCATTTGTTTCTCCTAAAAAAGAAGATAGTTACGAATCTGGATCTTCAATTGATATTAAATGCGAGGACACATATGTACTTAATGGACACATAAGTGTGAAATGTGACAATGGTCAATGGGATGAGCTTCCACAATGCTTTGGTAAGTACCACAATTCCTTCATTAGTCAACACTTGTATATGACATTTTTAAATGATATTAAGATTTGAATGACATTTTGCAGAGCCTTGTACAATATCTACCAGAAGTTTGGATACAAATCACATTGAGATGAAGCCATCAGAGAATCCTCCAGAGATACTTGAACATGGCACAGAAGTAAATGTAAAATGCAAGGCGAATTTTAGATGCCCAGGGTCTTTAACAGCTTTGTGTTATGATGGAATAATAAAATATCCAAGATGTTTCTCTGGTAGTAAGTAGCAAATACTTTTCTAGTATTGTATTTTGACTTGTACAATTTTCTACTTATTCTCATATTTATACTTGTGCTGGTTTAAAATGTCTTCCCTTGCCCTTGTAAAGCTGGAGTTCAGCTTTAGTTTGCAGAAGATATTTAGTTTATATAAATATAAAAGAGTATTGTATTATTTTATTCTATTATGTTAAAGCAAAAATGCTGTTATATTTTAATGGACATCCTCAAGCATGGTGCCACCCGGGGCGGGCACTGGGTGGCATCCTCCTCTGGAAGTTACCACGCATGCACGTGACATCATCTCACACACGCACTTACCTACCGGTGGCCATCTTGGTGATGAACGCAGGCAGAGAGAGGAGGTGACGTTCATCTGGTGGGATAAGGTATTCTGCCAGGTACTTTCCTCTCTTGTGCAACTGTCAACTCTTGGTACGTGACCAAGTGCCCGTCTTTTCAGAGGGGACGACATCAAAATGACTGTCAGTCATTTTGGTGTCACCCCCTCCAATGTTGTCACACAGAGCAGGCCACACACCCCTAGTGACGCCACTGTGAACTTTATTTTAAAAGTTAGCACAACTAAATTAAAGTGACACTGAACACAGGAGTTAAATTTAAAAAAGCTTTCAAGAACCTTAATTATTAACAAAAATGTACATTATGTGTTTATCATTCAGTGGTGGATCCTCAAATATTTTCTGAATTTGTGCTGACACTGTCAATCTCAATACAATTTAGTAAACTAAATGTAAAATTATAGTCCATCACCGGAGTGAGCTTGGAGCGGTGGCTATTTTACAACACACACAAGGGACCATGGGGAACAAAAGTAGCCACCCTCCAGAAGGAAGGGCAGTATCAGTACCAATTCAGAGATGATTTGAGGATCTACATCCTAGTGATACACAAACTACATTTTTGTTAATAGTTAAGTTACTTGAATGCATTTTTAAGATTTACCTCCTGAATTTAGTGTCACTTTAATTAGGGCTCTCATCACAACTTTTTTTCCCCAGTGACATACACTTCAGAAGGAATTACCTTAACACTTTGTTCTGGACTGTGTTCAATGTTGGGCACTGTCATGGTATATAAGCTACTACTACTACTAATATGACTTTATAGGGCAGGTTATCACAAATCCTGCACTAGGGCAGTTACACATGATGTGAAAACTTTAGATGTAAATATTTACCAACTGTAATCTGCCACAGGAAGAGGCAGGTTGGCACTCTGTTAATGACAAATCTTCCCAAGTTCAATCGATGGGGGGGTTCAGCGAACACGCGGCAAAGTTTGTAGATTGTGAACTTTAAATCGAACCCCATAGAAGTAAATAGGAGAAAATCTTAAAAAGCAATTCTATCCATTTTCAAGGTTAAAATGGATTGTTAAATAATGGGCATAGGGAGGCAGGTACTGTCAGGGGGGACATGTACCAATGCAAATTAAATAAATACCAAAAAAAAATAGTTTGGTGGGGAGCAGTCCTTTATAAAAAAAAGGCTTAAAGGGTAACATTAAAATGCCTAATTTCTTCAAATAACATGCTTGACAACCTTAAACCTACCTGTGGAGTGTAAACAACCTGTAAAATTTAGTAAAGCACAAGTGACATTTTCAAAGAAAAAAATACACCATTTAAAGGGTAATTCAACTTTCTCACAAAATGTGAGAACATTTAATTACCCACACATCTGCTAGCTCTCCCCACACCCGCTTTTACCTTTAGGCGGAACAGCCATCGCCCTGTCCCCGCGGCCTCCAGCGTACAGTCCACTATTACTATCCACTTTCATTTACATAATATATTATTAGGGATGCACCGAAATTCGTCGGCCGAAACATTTCGGCCGAAAATGGTATTATGGGCAAAATGCCAAAACTACCAAAATGGCAGAAAGTGTGGCATATAGTGCATTCCTAGCTTCTCTCCTGACTGCAGGACACTGGTTTGTGTCCCCTCTGATCCCCACTGCTCTCCCCCGCCTTTGTCAGCAGAGACAGCAGGGATCCGAGGACACAAACTGGCTTCCTGTGGGGAGGAGGGAAGCTGTCAGGAGGCCGAGCTGGGCTGTGTGGGGAAGAAACAGCTCTCAGGATGCCGAGCGATGCAGGAAGGGCTGTCAGTTGTCACAGGAGGCCAAGCTCTCCTCCCGCACCGCCCCTGCTTGCCGGCAAATTACTTTCTTATAATATACCATATATTGCTCTAAATTATATACTCATACTTACATAGGAAGAAAATCACAAAATCAGTTTTAATGTTATTTTGGAATATAAGATGGTCCTCAACTTCCAACTTTGTAGCCCGATTTAAAATATAAAAAGAGGTATAATAAAATCCAAATCAGTCAACCACATATATGAAAACAGTACTCAAAAGTGCCAGGAAATTGCCTGCCAGAGTGGCCAAGGATATAAAGGCAAGGCTTTGGAGGATGCTACAACATATGGATCTCTCTTTAAGCTACTTGTGTTATGTCACATAACATAACTTTTCCATACATATTTTAATATGATTAATTGCAGACATCCTACCCTGCAAAACTTTATTTCAGGGAGGTTCCCGTCTCATTTCAGGGAGGTGCCCGTCTCATTTCAGGGAGGTGCCCTTTCTGTTTTTTGGGGGGTTTTTTTACAGCGGCCGTCATCAGAATATAAAATAAATAATAATAAATACCGTAAAGGTTTACTAAGAGTAAACCTTTCAGGGAGAAAATGCCTCTCTTGCGGACGTCAGGGAGCCGCTATCTAATAGCGGGAGACTCCCTGAAATCAGGGAGACTTGAGATCCCTGTAATTGGGACATATTTATTAAGCAGTGAATGTGACATTCACAAAATATTCACTTCAGCTATATCTTTCTTTTGCATGTCTTTTAACTACAGGGAGTGTTTAACCACCTGTGAAAGTTTGATGTTTCAAATATTTGCTTAACATATTTGTTTATTTAGGTATCTGTCGCATAAACCAACAGAATCTTGATGATAACTTCTTAGATCTGGATGAAAGGCATGAATATGAGGTATTTTATGAAGGAGGAGAAACTATCAGCTTTAAATGTAAACCTGGATATAATAACAGGACTGGACTGACCGGAACCTGTACTAAACCAAAAGGGGCAGCTGAATATGAAATTACTTATCCTGTTTGTACATGTGAGTTGAAATTTACTACATATATATTTTATATAATGTGTGTGCAAAAGATGATAGCAATATACTGTATTCTATCCATTGTAGCTAAGTATACATATACCTTTAGCATCGGTTCACAACCATTATATAGACATATCGGCTTCTAACGGTGCCTCTCACGCAGTGATTAAAATGTATCTATCACCAAAACTTTAATTTTGGGTAGAGTAGGCAATAAAAAAAAACCCCCTCAGGATTCCTCTTTTGGTGGGATTCATTGTGCAATGACTTATCATTATAGTTACAGCAGAATTGTCATTTTAACATAAGTAGTGGCATTCTGGTATTGTTTTCATACACTCTTGCTCTCTCTATATGTCCTACTGACCGTGTCACTGCTGCAGAAAGTGAACGTTTCACAGTTGTTAACTGAACAAGAGGGGATATCTTTTAATGGAGACACCTATTCCAAAGACAACTGCTGAATAAGGGACTTCCTATTACTTTATTACTTTGGGGAGAAACTGCAAAAAAAAATCAGAGTTTAACTTGTCTATTCAGCGTGTCATAACCTAGACCGGTCCCTGTTCTGCCTAGCAATAAATCACATCAACATAGCACATTCTGTTCTGATCAATTCCTAGCATCTGCATTGCTACCATTTGCAGAAAATTATGACACTAATTTCATCCACACATACAGTATATAGAGTATATGTATACATACACTCCAACATTAAAAGATAAAAAAACTGTACATCTTACCTAACATACCCCCCCCCCCCCCCCCCCCACTATATTTCTTACATACTACTCATCATCCCACTTAGAAAATAGTAAATAAATAAGTTTAAAAACATCTGCTTTGGATCACAGTAGGACAGCACTGACTTCTTCTATCTCACAAGAATAACTGGAAGCACTGTGCAGGTGCTATGACGGTTGTAGTCTCCAAAATCCACTGCTGCTATGAGAATGTTCTCTATGCCTCTAGGCCATACAATGTTAGATTTTCAATCGGAAATCATGCACATGCAATCGAACAGTTGATGGTACAGCACCAATTTTAATTTTTGCTAATGTGAATGAAATTTTTCATATGGTCAGGTTGGACAATTTTTCTCTGACCGAGCGAAATTCAGTGAAGAGTGGGGTTTTCGTTAGGCCAAAATCTCCCCAAGAACACAGCACCTGGGCAAAAGGAAAGTTGTCTAGGTCAAACGAATACTTTCTCTGCATAGGTCAAAAGAATATGTCCGTTGTTCATAAAAAATAGTTTGGTTAGCTAAAACAATTTCCGAAACTGAGATTTGACTATGCTTGATGGTGAATTCTAGGTATAATTGAATGAGTGTTTGTGGCAGCATTGAAAATGTTCAAATTAAAATCTAACAATATATGGCTACCCTTACCTTGCACAGGGAATTTACAGCGCTTGCAAATATCTGCTATCTGTAATAACCTTATTTCCAGTGTTATAATTAGCAATATACAGTATGTCAGTGAAGTCTCTCATTTATGCAGCTCATGGTATAGCTAGTAGTTAGTCACATTCAGTTGGTCTTGCTCTTTAGTGTTAACAACATTTAGCAGGCTATAGATGCTGGGGATAGATAGCAGGCTATAGATTCTTGACACTCATATTAGATCTGAAAAAGCTGCTTGGATGAATGCAGCATACAATCTGTGCATGTTGAGATTCAATTTTCTGAATTACATTTTCATAACCTTTACTCAACCCTCTAAAATACTATATAAGGCTGCATTCACACATAGCTTTTGCGGTTCATGCACGTTTTTTCCGCGCGGAAGACTGTGCGGGATGAAAATGCTAAAGTTTTTTAATCCGCTCGGATCCCGCTCATTTGCGGCTATTAAATAGCCGCGAACACGTGGAATCCGCCAGATTATTGCTCTTGCACTATTTCGGGGTAATGTTAAAAAAACTCATATTACGATAACCTGAGGCTAATTTCTGTATCTTAACCCCTAAATGACGAAGGTAAAAACAAACCTTAATGCCTGAACCCAGGTCTACAATTTTGGCACTTGTGAGTGAAGCTGTCTATATATATTTAGTGTATCCAGATAAATTATATCTTGTTTTTTTAGAACAAATTGGACCTTCATTTGGTATTAATCGATACCCCCTGGTTTTGTTTTGTTTTTTTATTAGCAAAGAAAAACTGGTTCAAAGAAGTAAAAGTTTTATTTTTTTTTAAATTTAGATTAAGATTTTTTTTGTTTTTGTACAGGCTTCTCTTCTAAAAAACCTCCATAAAAATGCAATGTATCCTTTTTCTCTTCATAGAGGAGAAAGAGATACAGGGGGGGTGTCTCTCACTAATGATCACTGTGATTGGCTATCACAGTGATCACATGATAAGGAGCCAGTTCCACTGGATCCCAATCGTTACTCTGAGACCAGGAGCTCTCAGTGACACCTTGTTCTCCATGCTAGACAGAGAAGGGAAGGGAGAAGCGCTGCAAGCCAAGTAGGGAACAGGGCGATTTTTCGCTGAACCTTGTAAGGGGGGGGGAGGGGGGGCTGGAAAACACTCCATGCTAGGGCTGCATGATCAAGCATATTCCCTGCACAATCAAAGGTACACATTTATGTGGCTGTCCATGCTGCAATTAATACTGTATGTGTACAGAACAGCCAGCAGGAAAGTTTTAACCATTTTTTTTACCATGCTCATGTATGTTCCTGACACTTATTTGAACTGAAGAAACTGCTTGGATAAGCTGCTAAATGATTTTAACATTACAGAACAACTCGAGTTAAATTTGACTTACTACTACTAGCTGTTTGCAGTACAGATGTATTTTATTTTAAGTAGTTCTCATTCATAAGTGCATCAAAAGTTGTAGGCTAACCTTTTTTTTTTTTTTTTTATAGAAGACTCTTCTGTGTGAAGATGGTATGATGTCATTCACATACATTTAGAAGATGCTTCATTGAATATAAAAACATTTGTGGGCAAAAAAAATCTTGACTTTTTCAACTGGAGGAAGGACTGTCACCCCATACATGCAGTGATAGATGGAGAAATTACATCACAAATTACCTATGATATTAAACTGATGTTCTTGTGTCTTTGGCTTGCTGTTTGAACTGTGACTGAACTAATGAATAAAGCATTGTGCAGTGAATTATCATTATAGTTATAGCAGAATTGTCATTTCAACATACTCTGAGTGGCCAGATTATTATGACCACCTGACGTTTGTAGGCAAATTAGCTATAATTTCGCGCTGAAGTTGCTAGAGGGCCAGACCATTATAAATAGGGAAGCAGTTTTAGTGTTCCCACCCCAAAACATGGATTTCTGCAGAAGGTTTCAGGCTTAAAGTATATGTAAACCCAAACAATGAACTTCTCTTATTTGCCACCATTTGATCTATTAGAAATACCATTGAAAGTGTTTGTTACATTTGTTCGGTAAGTGCACAAAAAAAACTCTGATCATGTCAGAAATTCAGAGCTGTCCTGTATCCTGTATATCCCAAGGAGTGTAATTTGCCCTCCAGTCCTTATCCTGGACTACAGAAAAACTAGTCTTTATTTTGTGGCAAGGGGTAGGGATACAGCAGATTAACAAATTACAACTGGGCAGAGCTGACACCATTATTTCCAAAAAATTTGGTGTGTTGTCAGCCCACAACAGAAATAAGGAGATAAGTGCATTTCTAGCAAATCAATAGGATTGTTTTACTGCACTTGCAGGCTTTTAAGGGATAAAACATGGAGAACTTTGCAAATGTTTCAGAGATGTATTTCATATATTTTTTCCCTAGTGCACATTTTAAAAATGTTGCTTCCAATATGTTTTAAAATGCAGCATTATGATTTAAATAATATTGTCTGAGCTGTTATTTGCATTACACCACTATATTGGGGCATGCTGTGACATTAACCACCTGTGGACTGGCCACTGTATTAAAATGACCGGTCTGCTGGCATATTGTTCCGGGAGGACGTACCAGTACGTCCTCCCATGAACGCGTGTGTGCGCGCAGTCATGGACCCTGCAGTCGCTGCTCCTGCTGCTATTAGATGCATTTAACTTACAGTATAGCTGAAGTTAGCAGGAAGGTGGAGTACCCTCCCCATCCCCCTCTCTCCTACTAGTGGTCTTAAGAAAGAGATTCAGATTTCAGCTTTGAGGCACCACAGGTTCCAGGGCCTGTCATGTTTTTATATGTGAATAAAGGGGTTATTCATAGGAGAAGGGCGGTACATTCTCACAAAGGAAAAAGGGAGCTATTTTATTTTTACTATTTTGCCATTCCCATCCCAGGCCCATAGTAGGGGCAGTGCAACTCAGGATAGAAGGCTGGAGTAGTCAGGAGTGCAGTGGTGCTTCCAGTGTGTGTGACAGAAAGCCAACAGTCAGCTGAAGAAATGTAATACATTCATCAGTGGCAGCAAAAGGGTATAGGCATCTCTGAAGCATGTAATTTGAAGAACTTGTATATTCCTTATGTCGCCCTTAATATCACATAAAATGGAGGGCCCTCTCTTTTGCACAAGGTAAGAAAACTGTTTTCTTTGCCAAAAAAAATAGAGTTTATCATGCATCTCCAATCAACTCCACATATGCAGAATTGTCTCAAGAATGAGATCTTCTTTTGACATGTACAAAACCTTCCCTTGTGAAAACAGTGGATGACAACCTGTGATATTCTGCTCCCATTTCTTCACACAGAATCTAAAATGTATGGGTCTATCGAACACACCTTGATGAAATTTACAATATTCACCTCTCTATCCAGTACATCTGAAAATTCTTTTGGCAGCATCTGTGTAAATAGTGCCTCCCTGTGAGGTAAGCAGTGACCCTGCAAATGAAACCTTTGGCACTACCTGTCATGACAGTGGTCCCATCAGTGCAGATAATATTAATAGTTCTTCAAACTTAAGATATACAGATACATAGTTGTCACACGTTAAAA